CACTATAACTACCGGCGTTTGATGCATACTTATTTTTAAATTGAAAATAATGTAGAAAATTAACTAGGTGAAGGATGAAACATAATTTAATACACACATCCATACTTCATCTCGACAATAGCCAACAAAATTGTAATTTAAAATAACAAACTTGAAACCAGTCATTTTGACTGGTTTTGTAGTTCTAGTGTTAAAAAATATAAATGTTTAAAGCAAAATAAATACATACTTAAGACATAAATGCTTTTTAAGAAAATTGGTTGTGTTTATTTAATGGATATAAGAACATAGGTTAGATTATATTCGTTACTTGTGAATATATTTACTAACCAGATTAGAGTAAGTGCATACATTAACTAGGAATAGACTAGAAAATGTATGCATTTACTGATATAACACTTTTGCTGTAGCATATACATACATTATATTTAAATATGCATTAAAGACATTATTTTGTTTCATTACAGTGAATGTGTATAATTAAATATTATGCAGGTTGATTTATATTTTTGTATCTGTAAAATATACATACAACTTTTAAGTAATGTTGTTAAATCTTGAAAACGGACTCTTAAAAGTTTCAAAGTGATTTTTATTGACTCATTGAATTTTCTTTAAAATTAAAAGAGATACAAAAAATCAATTAAAAAGTAAATATTCTGCTCAAGGAAGGGAAATCTTTTGGTGTACATGATTAACTTGTAAGTGAAGGCTTTAAGGAGATTTTAAAATAAACTACCATTTTTATTTTTATTGTTTATTTTTTTAATAGTGTAATTCTATATTTTTGTTTTCTACATCCTAATAAATTTCTTTAAATCGAATTCAACGACCTATGACATCATCATCATCACTCATCAAGAAATATTATAATTGATTTATATAGAAATAAAGAAATGAAAGAAAACAATTAGTCTAATTATAGAGGGTGTTCGACAACAGGTGGGACAAATTTTAGGAGATGGCTCTGGGGGTCAAAATAATAACGTTTGTGACTTTGTTTTTTTAGTTATTAACGTTAAAGGACTCGAGGGAAAAGCGCGCACAACATCGACGATTGAACGTCGCGTCGTGTCAGTACGGGTTTGTACAATCACAGGCATGATAATTGAATGCTAGAAGCTTATCACGTGATATTGTGTTCCTTTTTGTTACAGTATGAAATAAAGTGCTGACAGATCGTTCCTTAGCATTAAACTTCTCTTTTTACTCACAGAGGAAATATGATAACACACATTGAACTCATTGAAATTAATTCACGATTGCCAACTGTACACATGTCACATTAAATATTGCAGCACTTGGAAACAGAATAGTACGTAGTAAGCTTTTAGTATTCAACGACTGTTGCCTACGTCTATACACGCCCTTACTGACACGACGTCCAATCGTCGATGCTGTGCAGATTGTCAGTTTCAGACGCTTTTCATCCGAATCTTTTAATTTTGATAACTAGAAAACAAAGCCGCGAACAGTATTCCGTCATGATATTCGTCTTATTTTGACCCTCCGAATCATCTCCTAAAATTTGTTCCACCTACTGTAAAACACCCTTGGACCTACTTTGCAAGGTGCATCGTTGTAAGCCTTCTATTTCTTATGTCAAAAACTGTTAAATTAAATTTTATTTACTATTGCCTTTTTCTCTACGATTAAATGTTATTTGATTTGATTTAGAATAAATTTCAATTTTTCAACCAAGTTTATTAACCAGAGGGATCCCTCGAAGGTTTGATTGCTCCGAGCCACAGAATTCTTAATCAGGTCCTGATTAGAAACTTTTGATTGATTGTTTGTTGCAATTAATAATCATATTAATAAATTATACAGATTCATATTTTAGGTTGTCATATCAGACTATCAATGTTTCCTAATTAAAAATTGGTTGATCCTAACAAGAATATCCTAAACTGATATTTTAAAAGGAAGTTATTGAGAAGTTTGAAGAGAAAGCAATTTACAAAGTCATAAATATCAGAGATCAAAAAAAGATTAATTCAGAAATTTAGCAGTTTGATTTGATTATAGGATTGCTGTAAATAATTACTTTACCACTCAGAACATAGAATTTTAGATAATTTCAGGTAAAATTGTACGCTGTAGTGGAAGTTGAAAATTGATCGACCGTTAAAAGTCATGCCGAGAGAACGTTTGCATGAAATTGCCTGTTAACGTGGAATTAAAACGCACCGAACTTTTGTGATAACACTGTTCAACAAATTTGAACTTTGTCCGATTTTGTGATCTTCAGTAAGCGATTCTTTGAAAGTTATTGAAAGTCACCGAATTGGATATATTCTGAACAATAATTAAACATATTTGGCTTATTCTAAGCAAAAGTAAATAAATTCATCAAGTATAAAATATTTCTTACATATACAAGATGGAATAACAATATTATATTGCATAAATAAGTATTTAAATAATATATTTCTCTTATAATAAAAATATACTGCTAAATTATTATAAAATTTAAATATACAGCGGGTATCAAAAATATTCGTACGCTCTTTAAAGCACAATACTTAACTTTTTTTAAATTGCATCAGGCAACTTAAGGAAACGACAGTTGGTCCAAATCGCAAAGAAAATAGCGAAGGTCTCTTTTTATAACATTTTTATCTGAGTTAGTAAAGAAAATATGAATAATACCTTTTGTAAATTCCCACCGGAATTGTCGACATTGTTCCATTAAAATTTCATCAAAGTGTATTGACTTGGCGAAGGCACAAAAATAAATGAATATATGATCACGTTTTCGGCACGGCTACCGTCACGTCGTTTGCCGATAACTCGAGTATTTATTCACACCCATAAAGATTGTCCCTTTCACAAGCACGGTACTAACTCCACCGATTTCGTCTGTAGCCTGACGGCCTCAAATTGTAGACTTCGTCTTTCCGTGCACGCCTTGACCTTCATAGACTTGGCAGCGAACTCCTGCCGAGGTTTGAAATGGCCTCGAGTCGACACCTTCATCAAGCCTAGCACGCGGAAGGTTTAACGGTCACAGAAAACCCCAGGGTTTTCCTCGCACACTGGGCTATGCCGTTAAGAACTGGCATGCTTCAGTTTTTATCATCAATATAACGAATAAATGATAAAAACATTCGTGTCTTTAGCTATCCTCGAACCACTCTGACAATCATTTACATAATTTAAACCGAAATTATAGAGTATCGCAAACAGAAAAATAATACACTGGTTTTAACATATTCATAACTAATAACATAAATCGTACACTGAGTCATACAAATAAACGAAAATAAGCTATTTGAAAATTATAGTTTTTAAATCTAAGGATTTCAATGCTTATCGTTTGTTTCTGTATCAACCAATTTTAATGAAATTTTCAGTATGTTGTAGCCATAGTTAATCGAAATGCAAGGAAATCTGTTGGAAAGACAGGATTTATTTTAGGAGCGGTTACAAGGTGTAGGATACAGTTTTCCTTTTTATTTATTCGTACAAAACATTTTACAAAGAGCGCCACGCTTATACTTTTCCCGTTCAATAGGCGTCCAGGTATTATCGCCGAACTCTCCATATCGAACGGGCGTCTAGAAAACTAACTCTACTAGGGCGTCCAGGAGATGCTCTGTACTCTCTCGACCGACAGGCGTCCAGGTATTATCGCCGTACTCTCCGTGTCGGTCGAGCGTCCAGGAACAGGTCTCCCGTACTCTCCCTTCTTCCGGTAGGCGTCCAGGTATTGTCGCCGAACTCTCCTACCGGGATCTCTCTCTCTCTCTTCTCCGGCAGGCGTCCAGGTATTATCGCCGTACTCTCCTGCCGGAGTCCCTAACCTGCTGACCAAGAGCGGCCGATGGTCTTACCTCGTCCTTTCCCTCTGTTAACAGCAGGCGAAGTAGACCGAGACCGTCGCGAGCCCTTATTTTATATCCGCTCGTTGCTATCCGCGGTCGCCGAAATCAACGATCTCGTCGTCAGGAATGAATTTGGCGTTTTCCGCGCTCGCGTTCCGCGTCTCCCGCGATACTCTATCGTCGGTATTCTCGAAATCGTCTGGACGTTTCCAGACTGCGTTGCTTTCGCGAACTTTCTTTTTACCGTTGTTACAATGTAAATTACTTATTTCGCACGTTGCGACTGAATACCGTAGATCTACCTTTTATAAATCAAACCGTAGGTCCTCACAATGTGAATCTACCCCTTCACACATACTATACTTTTAGAAACCCACAGTAGACTTCGAAAGATCGTCCTAGATTCAATATATTAAATTTACAAAAGGTGTTGTTCAAACTTTCATTATGGGTTTAGACAAAAAAGGTTGCGAAAAATAGCTTTCCTTATTTTTTTCCCTCCATAATAAAAATTGTAGCAAACACATATGTAATACAGGGTGTTCGCGCTAAAGTGTGACAGGCATTTTATTTCGTAACTATTGATGACACGAAAAATTGTTTATATGGAAATAGCATGATACAATGGGGCCTATGTTTTGGCGTGAACGAAAATTTATTTACATTATTAATTTAAAAGATATGATGGTCAAGTTTCGTTTTTTAAATGGAACTGTATATTTTTTTTCAGATCATGTGATAGTGCTTTTTAAGACGAATTTATTAAGCTGTTGTGTATACACCCGATTTTAATTAGTTTTCAAGATATAACGTTTACAAATTTCCCGGTTTTCAGTGGATACGTCTCGGTTTGAGTAGTAAGTCGTAAAAGCGGCCCTATAGTTGCGGTTTCTTATTCTTTGGGTCTGCCGTTCCAAAATATTCATAAAACAACATTCCTTTTTCAAGTGATTTTAATTAACTATTGTAAATTATTCTTTTCGTTAACAAACATTTGGTATAAGCTGTTATTGTTGTCTAAACTTCTTCTAATTTTGATAAAACTACTCACTTATATTACATTATCATATTTTATCTAAAACAAAATGTAATCTTGTTAAACAAAAGATTGTTATTACCTTCAAATCACAGCAGCAATATATTATGATTAATTAGCATGTATTTTGTTTTTAGCTCTACACACATCATGTAACGAAGATTCCGAATGCATTGATGGCGCACATTGCGTGCAACGAAACGCGACCATGTCTGGAAAACGTTGCTATTGTCAAGAAGGATATTATGAAGAAAACCCTTTGGTTTGCAACGGTATGGAACGTTTATACCTAAACTTTTAATATAAAAAAATTGAATTACTATCCGAATAAGTATTTACATATGTATATTGTTGATGTATAGGAACGAATGATACAATTGGATAATAAATGATTCTAAAATCTGAATGAGGAAACAAATGAAAAATATAAAATAACATTTTTTTATTAAGATTTCATTTTCAAAACAATTAAATTTAAAATTCATTGAGTATGCATAGACTTACATATGTATGTACTTATCTAAAAGTTTTGATGTAATGAAATCTTATACCTATTAGAGTTATTAATAAACATTGATAGCACCATACATATTATCGAGATATATAGATATATAGAATAGAATATAACTATGATAGTTTAGATTTACAGTGATTTATAGATTGATGAAATTTTAGCCTCGTCTAAATGTTTTTTTTATAGGAAATTCAAAAAGGATCTTCAATATAGAAAAAAATAAAGCTTAGCTAAAAAAGTATATTTTTGTTTTTTGCATATTTGCATCATCTAAAATGTAACGCTTTCTTATGCAGTGCCATTAACTTTCTGATCCCTTCCAATAAAAATGAAGATCTCTCTACATTAATTTTTGTATTAATATGTTTTTCTTACTATTTAGAATTTAGAGCTTCTAAAACTCCTTTAATGTCTTATTTTAAATTTGGAAAAGGAAGAAATTCAAAGTGGCTAAGTTTCCAAGTGAATATAATCCTATCTAAATTCTCATAAAATACTCCAAACAGTATTTTTCATTGAACAATAACTGTTATTATATCTTCAAAAATTATTATATCAATCTGTCTCCAAGATAGATACATATTAATGATCAAAGCCTACAAGAGTGCATGTTTAAGCTCTTCTTCTTGTTAGAAAAAATAATTTATTCATTTTTAAGTAGTAATGTTCTTTAATGTGCTATGCTTGTAATCTTTAATTATTACATTAATCAGTCTTCTTCATTTGCAATTAACAGTAACTTAAACTTTATTCACATGAAGAGAATTCGAAAAATTCTAATATGCACTGCTTTATGCTATTGTAGTTTTATTTTACTGTCACAAACTTTACATTACAACGCATGGTGCAGTATTAATTAAGTGATTAAATTTTGATTACATGAATCCATATACATAGCTACAACTTATATATTTATTTTAAAAAATATTAAAAACTTTTTGAATTCTTCATGTATGCACTATATTAATATATGTATAATAATAGTTATATAAAGTTTCTAATAATAATAAATTCTTTTTTGCAGGTAGTGCATCCTCCAACCTTACGATTCACATAGTTCTGTTAGTTACTTTAAGCCTTTTAAAACAACACCTTAATTTCTTGTAAGTTGAAACATTATTCTCAAAAATATGATTGAATTTGGTTAATTTCAAAGTTGTGTACATTTTTTTGGAATATGAATCAATCAAAAATATGATATTATATATGTAATATCAAGAATTAATTTTACATCAAACACAATCCAAATAACTATAATAATATAATTTTTAAGTCAATAAAGTCAATCATATATGTACTATAAATTAAATTTAAAAATTATATTTGAAACAACAGATTATTTATAAACAAAATAATCTACTATATACATTATATAAAACCTTTATATAAAAAGCAGTATATGTATTTATATGACATTACTCTCTTAATCTTTTAATTTTCAATCTTCTCAGAATTTTGTTCTTGTGCTTATTTCAAATGATGTTTTACTTTATCTATTTCTATTTTTAAAAATCAATAGCAATTCTTTTCATTTAGGTACAAACTTAATATTTGTTGCCTAAAACATATTTTCATATTTGTGAACTATAATATAATGTGATTTATAATTAATCTGTAACAAAATCATCTATTCTACCATATAATAAGAGCATAATTAAAAACATGCATGATATCACATTATCATTTCAATCATACCATATAAAGACTTTATAATAACATTTAATGCAAAATTTGATGTACATTTTATTATAGTTTTAATTTCTTTATCATACACCAGTTTTAAATTTACAAAATCTGGCTCTTATTTATGAAGTTAGATGACATTATGTAACTAATAAAAAAAGTATTGTATTAGGATGTAAGATAAAATACAATATATTGCCACTTTAAGTACCTCAACAATGTATACAAAAATCTGTTAGATATGTAATCACATATAAACTTAATTTTTATTTTATACAAATTTGCAAAAAATTTATTCATCCAATTACGTATATACTAACGTATGCGAATTTGTATTTAGTTTATTATTAAAATTGCATTAGAAGTGTTACGGTACTATAGATTTTAGATTTCTGAAATATACCTTGTATTAATAATTTCCAATTTATGTAAGAATATAAAAATTTATCAAATTTTGGCTTTTTTAAAATCTGTTTTCAATTCTTATGAAAGAACAATAGAAATGATATAAAAATTTGCTAATATTATTGATATTGATACGTTAGAAAATCTTTTCATTAGTTACATGAACGCATAAACAAATTGTTTCACACCTCGTTCTTCATTATAAATTATATTGCACATTTTAGTCCAACAATTCAAATATACATAACAAACAAATGCGAAGTTCTTATATGCCAATGATGCCTTAAATATCAACGTGACTGTTTAAAAGTATATATTTATTAATTAATTATTGAATATCAGTAATTCATACTAATACCGATTTATTAAATCAAATCTAACAGCAGCATTCATTTCATTTACTTAATAATGATAGTATAATAGTACACTATATTATTCATCTTCGCTGATATAATGAACATATTGGTAAAATATTTGCGTTACACATAAATAAATATTTTATTACGCATAAGGATTATGAAAGGGGATTAAATAGAAAATTTCGTGTATTGCATCGATCAGTTCTCTAATTTATTGTTGTTTTTTTTTTCTGAAGAACTAATTGTGTTATGGTGTTTCCACGCTGTCCGCCAAAGAGAAATGTATCAGTAGGGAGTACGTTTAGAATGTCAAAATCTGAAATATTTCAAATTATATTAATGCTATCAATATCATCGTGTATATCGTTAAGAATAGAAATTAATAGAAATCTTACAAAATTACAAAACGTATTAGTACTATTCCAACCACTGTCAAATAATACAGAAACAAATAGAGGAATAAATTCATTTCATTTAATGCATACAATATGTTAACTAATAATTGAAACGGAATTGTACATATCATGAAACGATTTTATATGTATTTGCAAAGACAATCTACATATATGCACATATATAATATGATTATTTTGGTATATTAAAAAACTTCTTATAGTAATTATCAAATATGTGGTAAAATAGTACAAAAAAAGTGACAATTTTAGAAACAAAAGGTATCAAAATGATGAAATTTTTAATTATGAATCAACAAATAAAACAATATAGCAAAAAGTGCGTTAAGCAATGGTAATAAAAATAATAGTTCTTTGTGATTGTAATGTATTATTCTTTATTATGCTGTGACGTCACTTTATTCCTTTTAGTGAAATTGTTAATTTTTCTTTGCTCAATAAAAATGTACGCATATATGTATACATAAACATATTTGAATATGTATACATCTATATTATAAATTGTACATTTCAGAACTTCTAACCATATCCACTATTACTGTGTCCAACTATAAAAATAGGTAATAAATAATAACACCCTTTGTAGTACGTTCAGTGTTCCTGATTTTTAAATTATTTATAATAATTTCATGAAAAAGTTGTAAATAAAAATAATTCGATTTTAAGTGTTAGTAAGTTATAATTAAAATATAGCTATAAAAGAGAATTACTTTTAGTAGATAAATTAAACCTTTAATGTTTTCATAGGAAATTATATACATCATTCCAAGTTAAAACTGAAAAACGATCAGAATAAATTTTATATTAACATACTTTCATAATATTGAATTTTATGATATTATGCTATTGATAATACTAAAAATCGTATCTTAATAGCAGTTAAAAGCTAATTACTTTTAAGCATATATTTTCTTTGAAACATTATTATAAGTAATTAAAAAATCAAGGATGTCAATACAATTAAAACTGTATCTTGTAAAATAAGTAAAAACATTATACATCTTTGTTTTATAAAAGTATTATTGTCAATTAAACTGGTTAACTTGTATGACTTAAATAGCATGTTATTTAAAAAAATGGAAGGAATAGTACTATTCTGTCCTAATGTTTATATACATATGTAAGTACTATAAGTACTATATGTAACTTTCACTTACTATATTGTATAACTAGATGTAATACAATAATCCTTTGAGGCCTGATATATTATTTTATATAATGCAAAATATTTGTATTTAATTTGTTCAGTGATTTATTAACTGTAGATTTTAATTTAATATCAATAACTTTAAAACGTTTCTAGATATACTCAAACCCATTAATATTGAGCTAATTCTAAGTATTTAATGAGCCACAAGGGATTAAGAAATGTAATTTCTGCTTCAATTGATAATATAATTTTTGCTTACAATTTTCAAAATGCTTTCCTATTTCCTCTTTAGTCCAATTACACGAAGTTAAGACTAGATAACCAGCAGGTTGCAGAATTTTATACACATTTTCTATATACTTTTGTCGTTTTGTTGCAGGATCCTCTGGATGTAAACTGATCGCATCATAAGTTCCTTTATCGTGTACTAATTTAAAATCTATTGGTAATTCAGAATTTGTTAAATTCAATATATCACAAACTCTTAAGTCAATCAACAGATTGTTTTCTTTCATTATTTCTTTAGCTAAATTGATTGCCTTTTGTGAATAATCTGCACCCATTAAATTTTTAAAACCCACTTTTGCAAGTTCAACTAATGTCATTCCATTTCCACATCCTATATCAATTATTTTATCATCCTTGCAAAGTGTCATTTGTGTACCAATCCAACTGAAATTTTGAACAAAATATTAATAGAAAATACATTTGACATCTCTCTGAAATATATTTTTATATGTATTACATATAATTACTTGTATAAAAAATAATGTTATGTTTAAAATTGTACATTTAACGATATATGTGGATCAAATTATAATATGCGTTCATTTTAAACAAACAAATAAAAGTTTTTATTTCTCTGGTTTGAAAATTTGAAAATGCTACCCTTTAGAAATGATTTAATTTTAACTTTTGCGGTGCACTAAAGATAGCAGTAGTAGTCTTATTGTTTATATATGCGTTTTAATGACGTTTTTCGGGAATTGTTCAAATGACTTACCGTACAACTTTTAGTGAATTATTCCTGCCGAACCATATCTCGCCGGTATCCCCGTGATCCTTAAAATTATCAAGTTCTTCCGAATATATCCTTTCCCAACTATAATACAATAGTGACTGTATAAAGTAATGCTTATCGGGTGTTTCATACTTACGTGCATGGTATGTAATTACTTACTAATCAAGAGTACCTAAATCTGATGGGCCAAGTTCTTCAATGTTTTGATCTGCCATAATCTAATTAAAATTTTTTAATTTTATCAAAAATATTATTCACTATCTCATATATTAAATATATAACATTAACTTACGGATGTATTTGTATGTAATTAGTGGTTAGTAGTAAACAGTGCAATATGTTTAGAAAATTTCTATAACTGCAAAACGTGTAATCACATTATGAGGCACATTATTATACACACATAACCTTACTTCTGAATCTAACCTCCAACTAACACTGCCATTACTCTTTTCATCATCGTGATTGTGCATAAACCTGCATAGAGATATAAGAATCTTATATCTGTACGATTAAGTCAGTCTTGTGCGCTTGTGATTGTTTGTTACATTCATTGCTGTTTACAAAGTGATAGTTTGTTAAAAATGACAAGTAGTTTATTAAACATAGTGCAATTTGGTAAGTAAAGATTATATTTAACATATTATATTATTGATGTCTATAGTTTACTATAAAATTATAAAACTATTTTGCTGCATGTATAATGTTAAATTAAGAGTTAATTTGTAAAATATTGTTTTACATTCATTTTTGTTATTACATGTTGCAACAAAGCTATAAAATACTTACGAAGCTACTGAATATCATTATCAAATATCAGTATAACTATTAAAAGTTATATTAAAGGCATAGAAATTTCAAACAAGTATATTATGTAGAAGACCTTTCAAAAACATAAATGAGAACCCTTATAGAAAATTAGTTGTTTTACTTTGTTATTCATGTATTTCTTTCCTTTAATCTTAACAATTTCAATTTTATATAATAAACATTTATATATATTTTATACAGACTATTAGTAAGTCTTACTAATTTATTATCAGAAGTTTAATTAGTTAATATCTTAAATTTTCAATTTAATATAATATTTATATTATCAGAATTATCCAAATTTAAATCTATTCAGTTTATAGTTGAATTTAATTGTTCTCATTGATGATCATTTATTAGCAGCAGTTTCTAAAAAAATTTTCACTTTTATAAATAATATACTAGATATTTCTAACATTGTTTACATAGTAGTTTCTACCATTTGTCAGTATTGAAGGTATCGTTAAAATAGCAAATCTTGAATTGACAGTCATAGTTTTTAAACATTCATGATGATATTTTTTAGCAGAGTATTCTACTTTTTTAAATTACTTTATGCACAACAGCAGTTTCATTTTATTATTAATGGAAATTTTGCATTTTAAATATTTTGGTTTCTTTAGTTATCAATAATTTTAAGTTTTTTTGATTAGTTTTTTTAAAGATATTTTCTTTTATTGACAAGTAATAATTGTCATTTATCTAATTTTATTATGTACATAAAATGCATCTTAGAATTGAATAGAGTTCTAATACACGTAACAGTCAAAAGAAGCAAGAACATTACTTCTGGAATAGTGTTTTTTACAATTTTGTTCTAAGTTTTATAGTTTTGTTACAAAGTGTACATACATATATTCAATATTGTTAGATTTAATTTCCTATAGTACATTTGCTGCTGTTATCAAAATAATTGACATACATTTTTATGTTGTGATTTAGCAAAACAATGCGAAAGATCTTCCATTTCATTTTGGCGTCAATTTTCTGTGGCAACAAATTTAAAACAAATAAATGATAATTCTAAGCCAAAAACAGGTGTTTTAATGTTGAATATGGGTGGACCTGGTAGTCTCGAAGAGGTCCATGAATACTTATTACGTATAATGACTGATCGTGATATGATTCAGTTACCATTTCAAAGGTTTAATTGCTAGTCGTTGATTACATAAATTTTATGTTAAGAAAAATATATATATATATTTTTGTAATATAAATATGCATTACAGTCGTTTAGGTCCGTGGATTGCAAAATCTCGTACACCTAAGGTGCAGAAAAAATATGCAGAAATTGGTGGTAAATCTCCTATTTTAGAGTGGACAAATAAACAGGGTAAACTTTTGTGTGAGAAATTGGATAAAATTTCACCAGAAACTGCACCCCATAAACATTATGTTGCGTTTCGTTATGCAAATCCTCTTACTGAAAATACGCTTCAACAAATACAGCAGTAAGAATGTAGATGTATCTCTGAATTTGAATATGTCTAAAATATGAACAAGAGTAATTAAAGCAGTTAATAATCATAACAGACGCTTTTGTTGGTTATATCATCTACATATTTCCATTTCAGAGATGGTGTTCAGCATACAATATTATTTTCTCAATATCCACAATATTCTTGTGCTACAAGTGGATCAAGTTTTATCGAGATATATAAATATTATACAAAAAGGTAGTTACTTATGAATTTGTTTTTGTAATATTGTTAATACACATTTCTTAATATATATTTACCTTTATTTACTGAAAACGTGAAAAATTTTAAAAACGAAACAGAAAAGGTTATAAACAAATTCTTAAATTTTTTACATTATAAATCACATTAGTTTATGCCCAATTTATCTTAATTAATAATTAATATTAATTTGTAATTTGTTTTTATGTAAATGTAGTATAGAATGAATATTGATTTATTATCCACAATTGCTATTTTACATTCAAGAATTCAAAATTTACAGGCAGCCTCCAAGTAATATGAAATGGAGTATAATAGATAGATGGGCAATACACCCATTGTTTATACGGACAATTACTGAAAGAATTAAAGAAGAATTAGCTCAGTTTCCTGAAAATATTAGAAATGACGTTATAATTTTATTTTCTGCCCATTCACTGCCATTAAAGGTTACTTTTCAACATTAAAAATAAATTAATAGTTTAATCAAAGTTTATATTATAAATCTTAAAAACTCGTATTTTGTACCATTTAATTTTAGGCAGTATGTCGGGGAGATCCTTATGCATCTGAAGTGGCAAGCACAGTTGCTCTAGTAATGGAACAATTACAGTATTGTAATCCATACAAATTAGTATGGCAATCAAAGGTACAAAGACTATTTTATTAAATGTTTGTTTGTCACCATTATTACTTTTCCATTAACACTCGTTAAACTTTTCTTTTAACATGTATTATTTTTAACACTTTTCAGTGTTATATGCTATTTGAAGATAAATTACTTTTCGTAATAGTTAAAATACGTGAACATAAATTTCATACCAAATAATGTACAATGTAATTTTTATAATGTGACTAATTGAGTTATATTCTAAACTACAAGATATATGATAAAAACTGTTTGTAGGAAAAAAAAATGTTCTATACAAAAAAACATATTTTCTGACAAATACAATCAATTTATAGATGGAAGCACCAATATTTCAATATTAATGCCATTTTTTGTTATGGAACTTTATAGTACTCAACCACTCCATTAAGGGCACAAAATACTTTGTATAAATTTGATATTTTGAAGCTTATTTATATTTTCTGCTTTCATAAAATATGTATATATATGTAGGTATCAATGAAAGGCTGGAAATCTCTGTGTTCCAATTTAATTAAAACAGCAAAACAATTTTTAATATTTTATATAACCTTCTGAGTTATTGATAAGAGGCTCATTTCTTGAAAATATACTTCCTGAATATTTTGCATAAGAAGATAGTTTTTAAATATTAAGTAACCTAATGGAGCAAAGCTTATATTTACAAAATTTGCAATAACCTCAATATTTTTTGAAGAAAGCTGCAAACATATAAAATTATGGGGTGTTTATAACAGAGGGCAGATTACTGAATTCCACCATGGGTTAATGGTATTTTTTTCATTACAAATTTAACAACTTATAGTATAGGATCATTCAGTTAGTATTAAAGCTACCCCTGTTCACTTTAAGGTATCGTCTTCAGTATAGAACGTATCCAAGAAATAGAAAAGTAGACCAGAATTGTATTGTGTTTAGATCTTGTTAGTGAACTCGTCAGTAAAGATAAATTTATAATCACACTTAACGCCGTTTGAGGCTTCTGGGTTTAAGCCGTGTCTAGCGGGCTTTATATAAGCTTCTATATAAAGTACTTTATATAGAATGAACTATTTCAGCGCGCCTTTAGACCCCTGAAGGAGCTAACTGTAATGATGGTGGAACGTTGAGGAAGAAGTTTCTGCTGGACACGGCTTATGCCCGAAAGTCTTAAACAGTGTTAACTTTGAATGTCATTCGGGTCACCGGTGACCGGTACTACGAATTTACTATTATTGAATAACTGAGGCAAAAAGAAGGTAAAAGAAAAATTTTAAATGATACTAATATTATATCTTTTATATAACATATTAAGCAGATACCTTTTTTAAGATATAAGTGGTCTTTTATTTTTTATTTTGATATAATGTATTTATTATATACTGAACTATTCAAATCGAATTGTTAATCTTTAATTATTTATACTTATCTTGAAAATGAAGCTTCAAATTGTAAAATGATAAAGATAATTTTAATTTTTTGTTGTCATGGTGAATTTACAGTTTTCAGGCTGTACATTTTATATAAATACATTGTATATTCAGCCAGATATTTAGCCGAGAATTTCTAAAGAGAAATTCAAATAGTTGTTATATTATATAATTCTGTAAATAACTCAATCGATCGCTTTACAAATATAGGTAATTCGTCCAGTATACAATATGGTCCACTGAAAAATAAACAGTTAAATATCTCATTAAGTATAAAATTGTAAAAAATGTCTCGGTATTGAAGTTATATGACATTATTAGGGTAAACACATTGATAGAAAACTAATTTCTGTTTTTTAAACAGAAACTATAGTGTCATAGTTCTTATATTGGCCTTCAAATAATCTTAAACCAGAAAAGTCACATTTTTACACATGAAATAAAGAAGTTAGAATCGAACGTTACATTAAGTGTTTAAAGTGATAGCCTTCGGGGTTAATAAATTTTCCAGCATGGATAATGACTGACTGCATTGCATGTTTGATGGTATCTGCTTCAATTGCGGCACAAGCTCTAATGATACATGAAACGCGCAATTCTGACCCCTTTATTTCCGCTACAAAAATGCAATTTCTTCTGGTTCAAAGTTATTGGAAAGTCAACTACTGGCTTGAATATTTTCTCTTAAGAATACAACACTATGACAACAGAAATACATATATCCAGTCATTTGAAAAAACAGTGATGACTATAATACCTCAAAAAGTAATTTTAAAAAAAATTAATTTTCTATCGATAGATGTAAGTACGTATGTATGTGTTTGTTCTATTGAAACATGCAATTTTATACTGAGACAATAATTTTGTATTTAAGGAAATATTTGAGCCAGCCATTTGTCAAATCGATTAATTCCACTAAACAAAAAATAGAAAAATTGATAAAATATAAAAAGTTAAGCGTCAATTAAGTGCTTTGACATTAAAATTTTTAAAAATTCAAAAAATAGAATAGATCACTTTGCCCTGTAAACGATTCATTTAGATGTGCAACTTTAGTGGGCCATCCTGTATATTATAATACAGATCAAAAATTACGAAAGATATACGGGAAACGGCCTACATATTTTATAATACGAAGTTCTAAAGTTATCGTCTTCAACAATTTTATTAATATCTGATTGATATCGCACTCTTGAATACTTATAAAAATTTATATAGAGTGAAACATAATTCAGATCACTTATGCAATAATTACTTCGATGAATTATTTCTTTATATGTTTTATATAAAATGTTCGAAATTTTGTTTTTCTTTTGTGCAGTTTCATTTCTCAAGAAATTATTCATATAATTTTTGGAAATTAATATTATTTAAAAACTAGAAAAAAGTGTAGAAAGTTTTATTTGTTTCATTGTAATTTAAATGTTTTTTTTTTTTTTTTATTTTATTACAAATTGCAATTTTAATTTTTAATGTGTGATATGAATACATATAAGTATTCAAAGTGCTTAGTAATATTTTATATGTAAAAAAAAATGATACATTCTTTTTATATAAAAATTTGTAATTATACAGGATAGTCCACGCAACTGTTACAAATCACAGTTGCCTTTTTAGTGCAATTAAAAAGAGAATGTTGGAGAAAAAAGATAAATGGTTTAAATACATAGTACTACATATGTATGTAGGACCATATATTTTTTGCAAACACAGCATTGCATGTTTACTTAACAGTTCCAATTTTTTAAAATGGAATTGCATATTTCTTTTTAAACGGATCGATTTTTTAGAATATTGTGCATGGAAAAGTGGTTAGATACCGTTTCTCAGAAATCAATACTTTAGATTCAAAGGAGAGAGATTTAAGAAAAATGTAATGTATTTTTTTTGTGTGGAACTGTATAGATTAATTGTTTTATCGTGATACTTTTATGCGTTGAATGTTTCGAAGAATCGATCTATGTGAAAACAAATATACATATAGTTTCATTTAAAATAGTAGTTCATGCACACACATTGTTCCATTTGTAAAAAATAGATGATCTTGCATAGTATTTTTTGAACTGTTTATTTCTTCTCCTAACATATTTTTTCTAATTGCACTGCCAAGAAAGTTATAATAGCAAGGTGAACCATACTACATACAAGGTGTTCCAAAACTGAACAATCAAATTAGTGTATTCTATAAGTATATCTACCCTAAATAATAGTAAAAATTAAATCATATAGTACACTCAGCAAACTTGCTGCCACAAGGTACATACAAGTTGTTTCGTATGCGTAGGATCCACTTCAGGGATGGACAGGGTCACGAAAACAATAAAAAGCATTCGTATAAACAGGTGTCCTATTTGACTTTGTTTCAAAGTTATAGCCACTTTTGTACTTCAATAATTCACAAAAGGTGCTCGAAATGGCCATCCTTAAGTTCACAGCCATCATATCAAAGAATTTTGCAATTTTTCAAAAATATTAGGTGTAATTTACATCTGTTGGCAGTCTTGTATGCTTGCTTCCAGTGCCGAATTAAGAAGAACTACAACCCGGCCTTACTTTGCAGAGGGCCCCATTATGTCTTCCATTTGCTATGTAAAAAAATATTAAATGAAATTTTTTTTACTATTACTCGATTTCTTTACTATTAAGGGGGTCCTCGAAGGTTTGATAACCTCAGGCCTTTAGAAATTTTAACCGGTCCTAATACACACATAGGACCCATGTTTACAGAAACTTTTTTCATTGCTTTTATGTCTTCTGTCCATTCTTGAAGTGGGCCCCACATACGGTGAACTTGTAGAAAAGCTACTCCCCCTCCGATTTTGATGATTTTTAAATATGTTGTAAAAATCGACATTTTAAGCAACTTTCTTCATCTAAGCTATATATCGGACTCGATTAGTTTGGGAGATATTCGCGAAAAACTATGACTGTACGTATACATCCGCGGCTGTGGGTGCGTCGGCAAACGACCCTCGCAGTTGACAGAAACAGTAAATCTCATACTCACTAGAGCATTCGTGCGCCGAAAGCGTTCGTTCGGGCAGAAATGCTCAAGTCTGTACGAGGCTTACTGTTTCTGTCAATCTAATTTCAATAATTTTGAAATTAGATTCGCGTGGCCGGCCGCCTTCATGCGGCCGGAATATTAGTATGACCTAATTTAACCTAATCTAGACATATAACGAAAAAAATTATATTCCGTCAACATTGATACTAATTATTGTGCACCATAAGATTATCTGCCGTCCGTACTAATGTTGATGGTATTTTGTTTTTTCTGTTATTTATGCATCTAGGTTAAATTAGGTTAGGTTATATTAATATTCCAGTCGCTTTTAGGCGGCTGGCCACACGGGTCAAACGTTATAATTTGATTTTTCAATTCATCCGTTGTATGTAAGTATAGTAGCCGGATCACATGGTGTTGCTTACAGAAACGGTAGGCAAGCGAGCCGGCACACACTCAGCCACGGACGCATACGTATAGACAGAATTCGCTGCAGTAGTAACAATATTCTTTCGCGAATATCTCGCAAATTAATCAAGTCTGACATATAGCTTAGAGAAAAAAAGTTGCTTAAAATGTCGACTTTTACGACATATTTAAAAATCATCGAAATCGGAGGGGGAGTAGCTTTAAGTTCACCCCACATATTATGAACAACCCTGTATATAACTGAAATTCTCAAGAAACGACAGTGAATAATGTCACCTGTCACATATTCAGGACCATATACTGCAACTCTAAAACGGTAGAAGATGAAATAAAATTTCATTAGGCACGATCAAATGGTATTGGGTGGAGTATTAGGTAATGCATGTTTCGGTTTTGAAAATTAAGGCATTTTAAAGATTTTAAGGTTTATGTACCATTTGAGTTTGCTTTATGACATTTCTGCCATTTGTTACCATTTTAAAGCTGTAGCTTGGCCCAATTACATATGTAGAACACCTTGTATTACATGGAGCACATTGATACTATACGAAACAATTGCTTTATACGGCCGTGGCTCAAGTTTCAGGTTTTTACCACCCATAAATTACAGTTTCAGCGATTTCGTATACATACCTTAGCTTTTGAAATATTTTATAACCGCACTATATCATGGTGACGATTATAATATTCTTCTAACCACCAATTTCAATGAAAATGCCATAAAACTAACTTTAATGTCTTCTAATACATATCTAACAAATTAACTGTTCTAAATTCTTTAATTCTAAGTTCCAGGATTTACTATTTTTATTTTATCTTTTCACTTATTCTGTTTATACAGTGTGTCCCAGGTTTTTCCCAATAAAATGCCTGAGTATATTCTGTAAGTGAAAATGATACAGGAATGTTACATGAAAATTGATTACAAATGTATCGATTTAAAAGTATAATGAAATTATTGAACGCATAAAATAATAAAATAGATTCTATTTATTTTATCTGTGTAATCACACAGCATGTATTTTCTAACGATTCAGTATCAGTGATAATAAATATTATTATAAGCGCTTTCCTAGTATTGTTAATTTCTGATTTCAAAATATGATCTTTATACACGGTTATAATCGTGATATCGATATTCTATAAAATTTATTATACTACAGAATTCCTGGATATTCTACTCAGTTTCAGTAATTACATTATTAATCCTTTGCACTAGTTCTTCATGTGAAACTACATCTGCACTATAAATTCGATAGATATAATCTCCATTGGCGTATCTGATAATAAGTAGAGGCCAGTTTGTAAAGTCTTATCTTAATAATACAAATTAAAATACAATGTGCAACTAAAAAAATAAAACATACAGTACTGTTCTTATTGTTAATAAAGCTAGGGAACCTAATCGAACCTAAATAGAAATTCTAGTTACGCCACTAGTAATGACTATAAAAATCAAGTAATACAAAATTCAATTATTTTGGGGACCAGAAGGTTCCGTTAACATTTACGTATAACTTTATAACAAAACATTTATAATATACTTTTATATAACATTCTTTTCTTATTTTTATGTACAGAATAAACTTATATTTTGTTGGGAAAAATCTGGAGTATCCTGTACATAAAAGGTAATGGTTATTTTCTTCTTTCGTATAGTCTGCATATAATCTAAAGAGCTTAATCTTTGTATTATATTTTAATATGTTCAGTAATTTGTATTTAGGTTGGACCTGTATCTTGGTTGGCGCCCTTTACCGACGATGCTATCAAAGCTTATGTTAAGCAGGGGAAAAAGCATTTTATCTTAGTACCGGTAGCATTTGTTAATGAACATATTGAAACTCTTCACGAGCTGGATATTGAATATTGTAAAGAGTTAGCGGAAGAAGTAAGTATTAACGATTTAATCATTAACTGTTACGGTGTAATGCAAATATTATTTGAAAAACTGAAAAAGAAATTTTCTATAACGTTCTAGTGAAACATTTAAAGGCTCTTCTCTTTTTAATTTCCATATAAAAACTAACATTAGTGATTGAAATTGGCAAATTATAAGGATTGACTCAATTGAAAACTATTGAGACAATAGTACAAGGAAAGACCCCTAGTTAGTAGACTTCAGTTTTAATATGCTTTTAAAGGTTGGTAGTGAGGTAATGAATCCAATGGTTGAACGAATACGATTGATTGAACAGGTCTAGTTATTGAACGCTTTTTAACCGACTTCGAAAAGGAGGAGGTGTTACTCAATTCGATCAGTATGTATTTTTTTTTTTCTTTTGCAACCTCTTGAACCTTTTTCTCTTTTGAAACCTTTTGCATCTTGTAGGGTATATCTTCCGATTGGTCCTATTAAAAAAAAATTTTTCATTTTTTAATTGTTATTGCAAAATACAGGAAGTTTTTAATCTCAAGATTGAACGATTTCAATGACCTTTTAATATGTTATCGGGGGCATGATTCTGAACAACTTTTTCCTTATGCATAATTAACGGAAAGCTTTAGTTTCCGAGATATTCGTGAAAAACTATTGTTACTAGTACATATGCCTACGTGTCTCTACCGGTGTATGAGTCAGCATGCAGACGCCGATTCTCTACTGTTTCGTATATATATGTGTACTCTTGAAGGCATGTACCGATTGCGATGAAACCTTTCACATCTAATAGGAGATATTTCCGCGATATCTCACTTGCAAAAATTTGTATGCAATTTGTTATTGTTAATAACTATTGTTATAACAAAAACCCTATTCCTTGGTGTTATTTTGCACGGAATGTACCGATCGCGATAAAACCTTTCACATTTAATAAGAGATATTTCCGCGATGATCCCACTTGCAAAAATGTATGGAACTTAGTATCGTTAAAAACTATCGTTATTGCAGTTAACCAATAAGAACGGTAAACCACCTTACGGCATCCTACAAATACTGCTCGTTCCTCTAAAAAGTGTGAAATAAAATGTATTTTTTAACAAAAAATACAACCAACTTCAAAATGCACTAAAAAGTATGAAACAATTTCTACTTCATTTATACAAATACCCAACAACTATTAATAAAACCTATTTACTCGTTAAATAGTACACTAAATACATTTCAACCTTTTCGGAGGCGGTGCAAAATTAAAAATACCCGAATATACGATGCTGCCAATAACGATTTGATAGGTTACCGACGCCTGAACTAGGATCTTCCTATAGTATTTTTCACGAGAGAGTACTAGTACGGATGAACGAATTTTGGTCTCGTCTGCGCATGTTGGCTCTGATTGGTTCTGCCACGCTCCGCTACCAAGGTAACGCGCAAGCGCCGTACGGCTGTATGTCGTGAGCCACGCTGGACAGGGGGTATATCGGGTGATTAGAAATTTGTGAATTATTCACTACCTCTGTCCTATAATAAGCTGTTCCTATATTAGTACATTTTGTCCACCGTGTATATGGCGGATCGCAATGGAAGTGAATCATGGTGGGGTAGCGCTAGTGGTGGGGGAACTTTCTGAGCTCAGTCGAGCTGCGCGAAACACTCGTACTCTCTCGTGAAAAATACTATAGTAGAAGAAAGTTTTTAATTTTGCGCCGCCTTCGAAAAGGTTGAAATGTATTTAGTATACTATTTAATGAGTAAATAGGTTTTATTAATAGCTGTTGGGTATTTGTATAAATGAAGTAGAAATTATTTCATATTTTTTAGTGCATTTCAAAGTCAGTTGTATTTTTTGTTAAAAATTATTTTATTTTGCGTCTGTTTGGTAAAAAGCGTTTAATTACTAGGACTATTCAAATACTTGTTCATGTTCTACCGCTGGGCCTGAGTACAGTAGAATGCCGGATTATTAAACTATGAGCGTTGTGTCTGTAAGGCAGTAAAAATGAAGAAAATAATCTCAAAAACAGCCAAGCTTAATACAGTAATACAGTTTATTAACAGAAATAAAATGAATGAACATAAAATATCGAATTTTGTTAATATATTTTCATCATTTGATTATTATCACAGTGGATGAGGCAACCGAATTATTACATGAAGACTTTTTTCTAAAATCTTCTTGGTTTAAAAAAATCTTACATACCTTCAATACATAGTTTAAACACAAAGTTATAAAGCAGTAATATGATGGTCCTCATTCATTCAGTCTTTTATTGTCTTCACTTGGAAAGGAAAGTGAATTCATATCAAATACACTTTTTACGCATATACAATATTTATGTTAACAGTAGTAGAAGCATTCGCAACTATACTGAAAAGTTTGTTAATGTGTACATGTAATATTGGATAAGCATAAATACAATTTCATAGTAAATTGAATCTAAATTATTAACGGAAATAAGTCGCAATTATAAACCTGTACAAAGTACTGTAAAAACTTTAATGGACGAACTTATACAAGCAGTACTAATAGATTATAAATTCTTACCTAAACCATGTTTCAATACCAAAGCTACATTGTTAAAAAAGTTTAGATTTAAGTCAGAAATAATAATAGGGTCCTTTTCTTGTTAGTGACATTTGATGTACGTTACTTATGGGTATAGGTATCTACAGATATCTATTTTAAGATAGATACCCATCATAGTAGTTAAGATTTAAATTAAAAGAATATTATGAAGACAACTTTCTCATTTTCAGCTTGGAATTGAAAGAATAAGAAGAACTGCAGCACCAAATGATCATCCCATATTCATAGAAGCTTTGGCAGATATTGTTCATTCACATCTCAAATCAAATAAACCTATAAGCTCTATGTTTCTAACACGTTGTCCTCATTGTATAAGTAAAAACTGTGCAGATAGTAAAAATTGGTATGCACAAATATGTAAAAATTAAAAACAATGAAAAGTATAGAAAATGATGCTTAACATGTATTGTATTATTTATATGTACAAACTAAATACTATAAGAAGCTGTCGACTTTGTTAAATATATTTAGTAAGTACAGATAGGTATTGTATTACATAAAGAACATAATAATTCTGTAATACAATGTTTCACATAAAATGTTAATACTTGTTGAGAAGAGTCTTGTTTTTTCTATTCCTTTTACTTCCTTCTTTTCATTTATACGCACAAGATATATTCATTAAAGTGAGATATGAATATAAATTGAAATACATTTTATATGTTAAAGGACATTCTGTAACGAATACAATAAATTTTATACTTTAATATTAAAGTTTGTTAAGTACATAATGAATAATATTGAAGATAAATGAAATTCTAAAAAAAGTTTCAGAACTAATACTTGTTAATTATTTAGTAAACATATTTTCTTTTATAATTTATTGTGTTTATTATAAATGGATTAATGTAATATTCGAATGAAAAATATTAAATATTAGTTTTTGATTTTTTCATGGTGTTTAGGATTTTAGTTCCTATATTTTATTAAAGCATCTTAGATTTAATTAAGGCGCGCGCTCTAATTAGCGCACCGATCAGACGATGACAGCACCTGCCGAACCAAGGCTGGCGCCGCGATCGGAGCAAAGAAATCGAAGAAGGGGAATCGGCAGAGCCAGTCGCAAATGAGAGCTCTTATCGATTGCCACCATTAAACGTGTAAGAAGTTGTTCGCTATATCGTGGAAACAGTTGTCGTGTTTTCTTTTGGTATTGTAATGACCAGAGCACTGTCAATTTATTAAAAGGAGGTACTTATTGTTCACTACTTCTGTCTCCTTTCTTTCTCCTGCCACGAGTCACGGTTGTCTCCATAAGCGTGCGCGAGGAAGAGTCTTGCCGGGAGTTTCACCGGGAACGAAATAACTGGCGTGAACATTGCGCAAATTACAAACACATGGTTATTTACAAAAAATATATCGCATACTTTAATGTTTGCAATATAAATTGTTTTATATTTGAAACAAGTTCATAGTTGAAAATACATATTTTATAACTCCGAAATTAATTTTGGTATCCATGTTTATTAAGACATTTTTGTCTGTTTTGTTGAATATTAGGGCTGTAGTTCCGAATACGACCGGTCGCCGATCAAGATGAAATTTGGAGGGTTGGTTGGGAGCAGGTAGACGACCCCAAATATAAAGTGGTATCTTCGGCTTCGTATTAGTTTCCGAGATATTAATTAAAAACTTTCGTACAATACATAGAATTTTTCCTATACAGACGTAACTAACACTACCATCGTCGCTGTAGCAACCGTCATCGTAAAGTGTCGAACAGCCGTTCACACCATAGCAATATCGTCTTCCGTTTCTATAGGGTGTACCATGTAAAATCCATTTTTTTAGTTACATTACGTTATGTTTTATATTGTATTACTAATTCTCAAGGAATTAAACACATTTGATTTATACGTAGGTTAGGTCAGGCTAAATAAATTTCCGGCCGCCTTCCGGCGGCCGGTAACGCTGCAACGGTCGTCGTATCTCTAAAGTTTTGAATAGGACACCCTATAGATAGTCAGGTTGGAACCCTCGCTGTGTCAATGGCTGTTCGGCACTTGACGATGTCAGCTTACTACAGCGAAGACGGTTATGTTAGTTACGTCTGTATAGGAAAAATTCTATGTATTGTACAAAAGTTTTTAATTAATATCTCGGAAACTAATAGGAAGCCGAAGATACCACTTTATATTTGGGGTTCCCTCCCACCTCCCCCCTCCCCCTTAAAATTTCATCTTAATCGGCAACCGGTCGTATTCGGAACTTCATCCAAATAAATTTTATTATACATATACATATAAGTAATTTAAATGTCGCCCCTTTGATTGTGGTAGCCCTGTCAGGTGTTCTCAGGTTTATATGATCCGAAATAAGAATTGCGTTTTTTTATGTACATGTACTTACATGCCCGGTGCTAGCCGGTACCGTTTCTTAAGGGCTAAGAAAGAAACATAGGTATACCTGAGACTTTCTGGAACAACTCCTTGCTTTGAAACGTGACCTTCTCCAGTCCTTAGCCACAGTCAACTTGCGTGACACTACTGTGTACTTTATGATACTGTTTAGTTTATGAATCTTTTTAAGTACCAGGAGCGTCATTATGATTTTTTTAGAGTTTGCTGTTAGTTGATCCATGCTCTTCTAAGCTAAGGGGGATGCTCTGCGAAACTTTAAAACCATGAAAATAAAAACTTTCAAGTTTAAAATCATGAGAGACAAGGATTTAATCTTTAATAACGTTTTTTATCATCAAAAGTAAAAACATAAAATTTCGAAATCATGGAAGACAAGGGATAGAGAGTCTTATACGTCTGACAACAAATTATTTTTATTGAAAATTGTTGTTAAGAATATTATAATCCGATCATCATCATGAATATTATCATCTGATTTCGGCCATACCGGTAATGACACCCCTGCTACATACTGGGGGGGGGGGGGGATAATAAAACCTAGTAGGAGATGATTCTACGTGTAGAAATAAAATGAAAATATATAATGGAATTTTTTCATAAGAAGCTTAATTTTTGTGAGAATCAAAAGGTATAGCAGGATAAGATGGTCAAAAGTGCCTTTGAGCCGATTTTATTCAGCAATGCATCAGTTTATAGCTTATAATAAAAAACGATAATTATTGAGATTAGGTTACACCTCACCGATTTTGTTGAAATTTAAATATATTGTAAAACTCAACATTTTGAACAACTTTTTCCTATACATATTTCTAAACGCCGCTGGGCCGAGATATTTTCGAAAAACTGTCAAAACTAACGCATTGAATTCTGGCCATCCGTGTGCGTCCGTGAGAACGTACGCTTTAGTATGGGATCGCCGCTTTTCTACTGTTTCTGCAGGCAACAGCACGGTGACCGGTGACCAATATATACCTTGTGTACTTCTGCATTTATGATTTCAATGTACGTATCGTAGCTATGATGGCAGCTGGGAATTTAATATAGCCTAACCTAACCCAATCTACTCTACCTAAGCAGTGAATTAAGTTAGGTTAGGGTAAAGTGATATTCTGGTCACCGTTAGACGTCCAGACACACATACTGAGATTCAAAATCATGAAAATTAGTTAAATTTAATTTTTAAGCCCACCCGTAATATATGTATGTATATATTGATGTCGGTCGCTATGCTGCTGCCTGCAAAAACAGTAGAAAAGCGGCGATCCCATACTAACGCGAACACACGTAGTGTGACAGCCCGATAAGATCCGTTCTGGACTCCGATTCATCCCGTCAACCCACATCGATGACGACCCAACAACCCCTGGACCCCTGAGTCATTCTTATGGCTAACACTGACTCCTGGATCCGACACAGGAAGGGCTTTCCTTCCCTATCAGCAAGAATCTTAAGCCTCGTACTGACTTGAGCATTCGTGCGCCGAAAACGTTCGTTCGGGCAAAAATGCTCAAGTGAGTACGGCCCGTTAATGTGTTTGCGAAGGCCCAGAGCACGAACGAACGCTTTTCGACGGCTGTCAGTCCATCAAAGGATGTTCGTGCGAACAATTTTACTGTGCCGGTTACAAATTACCAAGTACCGTTAGTCGACCGCTGTCGAATTTACCCTTCGGAAAAACTCAGTTTATGATATAGCCTGATGAACCGTCATAAACTGATTTTCGATATTATTGAAATTTTTGATATTATTTGTTTGGATACTTTAACCCCTTGCACTATGCCGAAACTCGGAAAAAGCCAGGCCAAACCCGGGCCCCCGAATGGTGGGGATAAGAGCCGAAGCAATGTAGACAGAGTGTCGGAACTTTGAAACATGATATTTTGCGACTGAGTGCGAGAGAGACTAGTTCGAAATGTCGATCACGACTTATCGTCAGACTCGTGATATTCAAGTTTGGCCTAAAATTTTCATCACGATTAAGTCTCGTCAAAATAGTGCAAGGGGTTAAACAGATAATGAAGACTCGTATATGAATTTCCCGTTGCTAAAAAACGTAGCGTTATAGCTAAGCGTTCTTTCACCGTCACAGCTTTTCTGAATCTGGTGTCGTTTTTTTGAATTTTGGGGCCGATAGCGTTTATTAAAAATTCAAAATCTTCCGACGACATCCGCACAAAATTTTTAAAATGTCCACTAGCTTCTAGCTGTAAATCTCTAACTAGTTTTTCACCACTAGAGGTTGCTCTATTTTTATATATCTGACTAATCCACCATCGTTTATCTTGATTTTTTCTTCTTCTTTTTCTTTTAATTATTGTGTTCATAACAATATACGCTGCACTGACGATCGTGACATTTGTTCCTGTCGACATTCTGACTTCGACTGGTTTACAGTAGAAAGAACCTTTCTACATAGAACCCAGATAGAAAGGTTTACGGTACCCCAGGTAGAAAGGTTTGCGCAAACAGCCGGAGCACGACTTTATACGCACGAATGCGATGCTCGAGAGAACGAAGAAACACCCGAACGAACGTTCGTTCGCCGAGAGCATTCGTTCGGGCAAAATGCTCTAGTCAGTATGAGGCTTTATAATAAGGCCCTGAACTTTCATAGACGGACAAAATATTAAGAGAGTTCTTAAGTACAGGGTGATCCTCTCGCTACGCTACCCAAAGGAAGTGCCGCCACAATAGAATGTAGAAGTCGACATCCCATTTCTGTCATCGCTTACTTGACCGAGATGGCCCCTGCAGCGAAGACGACTGTGTGCGTGAAAATGTGTTAAGAAAATATTCTGTTTTCCGCAGTGCTTAAATGGGACTTTTCTGCTCATTACACACATTTTCACGCACACAGCCGTCTTCGCTGCAGGGTCAAGTAAGCGATGACAGAAATGGGATGTCGACTTCTACATTCTATTGTGGCGGCACTTCCTTTGGG